AAAAAGGAGTGATCAACTCAGTTTCGGCAAATATTCTTTAGGGGAGCTTGGAGGATGCTCCTGCAAACTGTTGGAAATGTGTTAGTTTTGTAAAGCAGAGATTCTAATGAAGATGTGAGGCTTTACATCTTTGTGGTGTGAGCTCTCTAAAGAGTGAAATCCCTTGTGGTTGGCCCCTTGGTGACTCCTTGGTGTGATAACACGCTGGAACAGCTTGGCTCAAAGTATCTCGTGCTGCAACAACCTAAAAGCTTCATAGAAAGAGATGGCTCGTCCGACTTTGTTGCCTTTGGCCCTGTGCGTGGCCGCTGTGCTCTTCTTGTCGACCACCTTCGTTCAGGCTCCAGCCCGAACTGTGGAGGGCCCTCAGCGTCAGCTACGAGTTTTGGAGACTGCTTCCATGTCAACTGGCCTTGCTATGGCTGGCTCCCTGCCAGCGTTTGCCACATGGGGTGAGGGCTCTGAGTCTGGTCAGAACATCGACCCCGACTCCACCGAGTACTACAACCGAAAGGTACTGAACGCCACGGCCATTTGCTTGACTTTTGCTGTCTTCCTGTTCGGCCTCGTCGTCTCGCAGGCCCGCAAGCTTGTGGAGAACAAGTGGTTGAACTGAGCCGCAGTGGCATTTTTTAGGTGACTGACAGTCTGGTCAATGGCTGCGCCGCCAAAAAGGAGTGATCAACTCAGTTTCGGCAAATATTCTTTAGGGGAGCTTGGAGGATGCTCCTGCAAACTGTTGGAAATGTGTTAGTTTTGTAAAGCAGAGATTCTAATGAAGATGTGAGGCTTTACCTCTTTATGGTGTGAGCTCTCTAAAGAGTGAAATCCCTTCTGCTTGGCCCCTTATTGACTCCTTGGTGTGATCACACTGGAGCAGCTTGGCTCAAAGTATCTCGTGCTGCAACAAACCAAAAGCTTCATAGAAAGAGATGGCTCGTCCGACTTTGTTGCCTTTGGCCCTGCGCATGGCCGCTGTGCTCTTCTTGTCGACCACCTTCGTTCAGGCTCCAGCCCGAACTGTGGAGGGCCCTCAGCGTCAGCTACGAGTTTTGGAGACAGCTTCCATGTCAACTGGCCTTGCTATGGCTGGCTCCCTGCCAGCGTTTGCCACATGGGGTGAGGGCTCTGAGTCTGGTCAGAACATCGACCCCGACTCCACCGAGTACTACAACCGAAAGGTACTGAACGCCACGGCCATTTGCTTGACTTTTGCTGTCTTCCTGTTCGGCCTTGTTGTCTCGCAGGCTCGCAAGCTTGTGGAGAACAAGTGGTTGAACTGAGCCGCAGTGGCATTTTTGAGGCGACTGACAGCTATTTAGCGAATTGCGTCACCGCAAAAAGTGCTTGCGCGAATGAGGTTGTAGGATGACGGCACTTCACTGGCAGTTGTTCGATTGTAGACATCAGATAGATTCTTCTCAGTCTTTTCCTTTCAGATTTTGATATGTGTTGCTGGTTCTTCTTTTCTCTTACGGGCACGATTTATATATTCGTTGATCAGCATGCATGCATCTGGCTGGGCTTGCTGCCATGTAGTTTGCAGCTTTTGTAGCTTGAAGTTAGTGCGAAAGTTTGGCAGTGTAGCTGGGGCTGGTTTGTAGCTGGAGGCTGCGCTGTATTCTTTCACGGTCTCTTGGGGTGAAGGTGTTTGATGTGTTGTTTGATGCCTCGGTTCCAATCTGGCACATTAATCGAATGCAAGCAAACTGAATACGCAATTGCAACATCCGGAAACGCATTCTGCATGCATATTGAGGGAACCACGTTGCCGAAAATGAAGAAGTCTTTCTTAGGCCTGCTTCCGCTCTGGGAAGTGTTTTCAGTGCTGGGGCTGTCAAGCTTTGCTCAACTACTGTGTTTGAATGATGCACTTGCTGCTCAACATGCTGTTGCCCGAGCTTTGATGACTGCAGCCCATGTCTTCCAGATCTGCTGTTCTTGTGCCCTAGTGAGTCCTGGTCAGTAGGTTATTTTATTTGATAGTTGGCTATGAATGAAGCACAGACCGCCCAATTGGAGATACCCATCATATATCCCATGCGGAACTTGTCCGTTACAATCACTCCACTCCCAAGGCAGGCAGAGTGGTCTTCTACACTTACTTGTTTGCAGTTGTGGCAGTGCTGCAGTGGCAGAGCATCTTAGAGTTTAGAGCACCTGGCAACATGTCACCTTGATGACCTGCACTGCTGATTTAATCCAAGAGTCGATTGTTTGAACCTGGTGTTGGTTTCTCTTCGTGGCCGGGTTGCACTTTTTGGAGGAAAACACACAATTCCAAGTCAACCCAACGACTGGGCCACTCAATTTCAAGCAGCAGAAGAGGCTCCCACAATGAGCATTGAAGGAACCGCAGCTGGCTCAAGACGAAGCAGTGGAACATGAGCAGACGCGCTGCACTCCCAATAGTTTCATGCAAAGCCGGTCAGATAATGAAGATGTTGCCACAGCACTTGCAAACTCTTCGAAATGTCCATCTTACATTTGTGCAAGTCAACAACCTTACGAGAAAAATGAAGCCAGGAACGAATAAAGAAGCTTATAAGTTCTAAGTGTTTAGAACACCAGAGGGGTGTTTCTTTGTGCTAATCCGTCCTTCCGGCGGGCCTTTCGCCCTAGGGCCTACTACGCACAAGGGACCTACGGCATGGCTCCACGACCAGGCTCCAGGGAGAGGGAGGGAGAGAGAGAGAGAGCGCCTAATAGCAATGGCCTCCAACCTGGAAGCGATGGCCTCCAACCTAATCTATACTGTATATATATATATATATACAGATAGAGAGAGAGAGAGATGTGTGTGTGTGTATGTGTGCCCGGTACGATGATTGAAAAATGGATTTGCCAGGTGAACAAAAGGGGTGGGCAACAAAGTTTGCTCACATGACTCCTGGTAAATTGATGGCCCTGAAAGGAGCGCCTAAAGACGCTTAAAGGCCTGAAGATGCAAAAAAATGATTCCTTGGGAAATGGAAGTTGTAGCGGCATGGATTTGAGGCAAAGAAGGAGTCAACTTAACCACAGCACCATCTGAGCATCCCTTGTTTCAGATGAAATCCATCGTCCAACGCATTGTCAGACGGTTGTTTTTGGGGGTTGTTTGGATATATTTGGATAGCAATCACGGAACTTAAGTTGGTGCTTTGGTTTGTACAGAGTCTCTACAGACAGACTTCTTGTCTACGAACAACCAACCAGCATGCTGGATTGTTTCCCTTTGCCTCACCCATCTTTTTGATACCATTGCCGCTTCCACAGCCCCTCACGCTGAAGCAAGGTAAGGCTGTTTTTCGTTTCTTGTAGTCCGCTTTGATGGAGTATAGTGTACTGTCCGTGGCGCCACTTAGCTCTAACGAGCGGGAGATCACTACCAGAGGAGGTCAACAACGGCACATCCTGCATCCCCACTCCGGAGTGGGCAGAACATGCATGATGGACATGCTTTTGGCTGGCCAAAAGCCTGTAGCACCCAAAAGGCTGTTGGAAGTGGTTCGAAACCAACCCGGTACCCTGGCGCCGAGAGTGGGAGCAAAACGAATCGTGAAACATGGAACTCGTCATCATCATCATCATCATCATCATCACAGGGGACAGATGTTTGATCTACTCCAAGATCATTTGTTCTAGAGCTTGAGCAGTTCTCCTGCACCAGTCGTTGGGATGAAAAAGTACAAGACATGCAGGAGTTGCTTGAGCAGGAGCATAAAACTTCACAAGCGTCCCTGCCAGATTTGGTGCTCTCCGCTGGAGAATTTGCTCCAAACACTGCAGGGGGACCCTGGGTTTCTGAGGAATCGAGATGGGGACCTGCAGGAGAATTGAGATTCACCGCATAGCATGCCTGAGTTGTCGGAAATAGTTCAAGCCGAGAGTGTCCCTATGGATGTGGAAGTGGGATCTGCAGACTAGAAAGCATAGGTAATCTTGGTTTTGGACAAATGACAGCTCGGCGGTCTCGGGTGTTCGATATGGCGTGCATCGGATCAATCATCGGATGATGTGCTCCTGCGGCAATACGTCCATTGAAGATTGGAATGTGACTTCATGTTCCGTGGGGGTTCCACCCAAAGCACAAAGGTGCTGGGTTCTAGTTTGAAGCCCGAAAGACTTCTTTGGAGAGATGTCAGAAAACCGCCGGCCACTCCGAAATCTCTCCCCTAAGGCGCTTGGAGCACCTGTGCCCTTGCAGCTCCTGGTGCTCTTTTGCATCGGCGAGGGAGGGAGGGTTGGCAGGGCAAGTTGTGGGTGTTTGGTTGGAACAGCCTGTACGGGTTGCCCTTGTCAGGTGGATTCTGTCCAGATCGCAGGGTGTGTGGTCTTTCTGGTTGTGCAACACCTGCAATGGCATTGCCCCCGTCGATTTGGAAAAAATTTGACCCCTTCCCGTGCTGCAAGAGGCAAGCAGAGGCGTCTCCATTTACAAGGCTGTAGCCGCCCCTTTTGGATTGATTCAGATGGACATTTACGGTGCAATGTCGGCACCTTGACTGAGCGGGGAAGTTGCTCATACTTGCCGGGTCGCCTATGCAAACACCATTGCAAAAGATCAATGTAACTGTAACTCTGGATGGAATTGTGTGCTGGAGTATACACATGGAAGCTTTTGTGCCAGTATTCTGCATTAAAACCTGTCCCGGGCAACATGCAGGATATCTACTGCCATGTCAGTCTATTTTCATGGGGCTGTTTGCTGCGAAATCCGACTAAGAAATACTCGTTTTTCTGACTTTTGAAATCATGGAGTGTTCTGCTCGTTTGCATGAAAGAATACGCAGTCCGTCTTATAACTCAAAGGATCAAGGACTTTATGAAGATGTTGAAGACTGCAGGCTTCAGCGGTTTCTTGGTGCTGTGGCTGCCTGCAACTCAGTATGGGGTGCCATCGAAAATCATCAGGCCATCAGATCCTGTGACACCAGGTGTATCACTCACAGGCGCACAGCGCATTTCTCTTTTGGTGCCTGGTGGCCACCACGATAGCAGTACGCAGCTTTTGGCGAAAGCATTCAAAAGCTTCTCTTCGATTTCTGAACCTACCCTCAATGTGATAGACCAAAGGCCAGACTTGCTTCTGGCTTGAATCAGCATTTGATAACAGTACTTCCCCCACCCCTTTGGGCTACCCTGGAACAAGGTTCTGCCAGCTCCAATCTTGCCACAAGCACACCATCCCCATCAACGGCATGAAGGTATTGAAAGCAGAGACATGACCGCAATCACCACTGACTCGAATCTGGGAAGCATCCAGAGAGAGTTTGGTCAGCATCAAGCACACGCGCACAGACTCAGGATAAAAGTAAATGCCGCATGCCACTTGCAAGCCTAAGTTAAAAAAGAACTGAGAAACCAGGGGTAGTAGGACACGTGAATTCTCCAAAATGATCGAAGCCGAAATGATCGAAGTTCAGCAAGTTTCAGAGAAATGCCACATGATCGAAAACCGAGAGAGCGAACGGCGAGCGCACATCTGCAGACCTGAATCATTCTGCAACAGACTGAAAACCTTTGCGAGTGGAAGGTGATTACAACACTCACACGACTCACAAACATTGCAGGTACACGAATGGACCTCTCCACCCACTTCCCCTCGATCGACTTAGCTTCGTTGGACAAGCTTCATCGCTGGAGGCCTTGCCCCCCTGCTGATTGAAACCAACAAGTTATCTACGAATCCAAGGTGTGCACACACTCATGGATATGCGTACTGACTTGATTGCGGTGCCACACGCCGGCCTAAGAGACCCAAATCCTGAAAAACCAGGTGAAGGGGACCAGAGTTCCTGTAGTTAAAGGCCACGAACCGACGAGGCGACAGGTGGACGGCGTTCCGTGCATGTCTGCAGCTATTGAGGTCCTGGGCTTAGCCTCACGCCATTCAGTACAAGGAAAAGGCAGGTACGTGAGTCAGGCGTCCCTGACTCATATCACAGGAAATCCGTGGTGTCTTCGTTGGATGCCGACCATGGAAATCCCCGGCATCCCCCTGCGATAAAACAAAAAAAATAAATGCAAAAGCATCCCTATGAATCCGAGGGTTACACACACACGCCTCCCCGAGGGGAGGCATCTCTGCCCTAGAGCATCCTTGCGCCTAGTAGTAAGGCCAGGAACCCCTAGAAGCACCAAAGTAGCGTCCTAGTAGAAAGGCCAGGAGCCCCTAGTAGCAACCCACACTAAGGTCCCGACGGGAGGAAGGGGTAGGGAGAGAAGAGAAAAAGAAAGAGAAGAAAGAAAAGGGGAAGAAGGTGTTCCCAGCTACGACACAAGCGTCCAGGGACACACCAAAGGAAGAAAGGAAAAGGGTTCCCAGCTATGACGAAAGCATCCAGGGACACCCAAGGAAGAGGGAAAAGAGAGGAAAGAGAGAAGGAAAGAAAGAGAGAGGGAGAGAGAGGGAGAGGAGAGAAAGGAAGGTGTTCCCAGCTACGAACAATCGTCCAGGGACACACCAAAGAAAGAGAGGGGAGATCCTGAGTATTCCATTCAGGAAAACCCCAGAAAGCAAAGAAAGAAAGGGGAAGGGAAGGGGGAGGAGGGGGACTAAGCTCGCGACAGGTTCCAATGAACCTCAAAATACTTTGACCGCCCTGGTCACCTTGTGCCCTGCCGAAATGGCTGGCTGCTTTGACCGCTGCGGTCACGTAAAGGCATGAGCCAACTTGGAATTCCAAAGATGGGACAAAAATCATCGGACGTACGGCCTAGGCCACCTACGCTCGCTGCGAGCTGCTCTGTATCCGGGCAATGGATACTGTCGACATACACCCGTTCGACGGGTCCACGGGAGGCACTCTGCGGGCTCATCCCGGGTTGGCACGAAGCCAAACACACTCAGGGATATGCGTACTGACTTGATTGCGGTGCCACACGCCGGCCTAAGAGACCCAAATCCTGAAAAACCAGGTGAAGGGGGCCAGAGTTCCTGTAGTTAAAGGCCACGAACCGACGAGGCGACAGGTTGACGGCGTTCCGTGCATGTCTGCAGCTATTGAGGTCCTGGGCTTAGCCTCATGCCATTCAGTACAAGGAAAAGGCAGGTACGTGAGTCAGGCGTCCCTGACTCATATCACAGGAAATCCATGGTGTCTTCGTTGGATGCCGACCATGGAAATCCCCGGCATCCCCCTGCGATAAAACAAAAAAATAAATGCAAAAGCATCCCTATGACTCCAAGGGTTACACACACACACACAGAGCAGACATTTGGGCGCGTTTCATTCACAATGAAGCTTCGACAGATTTGTTCTTGATATGCATATAAGATTCTTGTGAGGATTAGTCTTTGCAGGTCTAGACTCTAGGCTCATTGTGTTTCGGTATGTAACAAGTATCCTTTCAGAGTCTTTGCTTTTGGGTTGTGGGTGGCCCCAGCAAAACACAAAATATTGAACATTGAAGAAGTACAGTTCCATAGCAGTGTGAAACCAGAAGAACGCGACCCCCACAGCGTCCCTTTGTGTTTAAAATGGAAGTCCATCCAGTTCCAAGAGCTTTGGAGTCCCAAGTATGCAATACTTAGGACAATGCGATTCAAACATGTAGCTACTCTTGTTGTTCTTTGCTGAATGTGGTCTTTTGCTGACCTCCTATTGCATCCTCAAGCTACATCTGCGTAATCCACGACTGGGATGGCAATTCGCTGTCTCAAGTTTACATTTAACCTCTTGACTCGAGACTCGGCAGGCTTTCGTTTAGGGTTTGGTGGGTTTGGTTGGCATTGGTTTGTGTAGCGTTTGGTGTTTGGTTTTCTTAGTTTTGGTTTGTTTAGCGGGATTTAGTTTTGGATGTTTTTTGGCATTTGGCTTTCGGTGTTCGCGGCACCTCCTGCCTCCACCTTGCGCCTTCCTCGAGGTCCCTTTTTGGGATTTGGTTTTCGGTTTTCCCGCCTCCGCCTTGCATGCGCTCTCCTCTTTCGGATGCCCGATGTTGTTTTTCATCAGTTGCTTTTTGATGGTGGTTATTTTTCCGACCTGCATGTTGTTTTTCAACATGTGGCTGCGTCAAACCACAGTTTCTTGATTCAGGATTCGGCTTTTGTTCCGGGCACCTTTCCGCCTTCCTTTCAGGGTTCTGCTTTCGGTTCTCGTTGATCTCGGAGCAGGTCTCCTTGTGTGGGCGTCTCCAAATCTAGCAAACTATCAAATCAATCAAACAAATCTCGTGAGCTCAAGAAACTACAAATATCAACAGCGTACCCAGGCGGAAAGGGAAATGCCGTCACAGCAGCAGCGGCGGCAGCAGCAGCAGCCCTTGGGCTGAAAGTAATCAAGCAAGCCACACTCATACACAACTCGATGGGATTACCTCATACCATTACTGAAATCGTCATATTGGAAGCGCATTCGAGGCCACGTTGTGATGAAAGCAGCAAATGCTCACACTGTCACCCATCAGTGCCACGCAATCGGATGTTGGAGAGAAAGTCCAAAGACCCGAGTGTGTAAGCTTGTGTCAAATACCGCGAAACACGGTCACCTGCGCAGTCCTCCAGTAGTTGTGGTTTGGCGGTGGATATTGTGCTGCCTCGAGGCATGCACCTTTTTGCAGAGATGAAACACCTTCTAGAACCATCAGTTTTGAAGCGACTCCGCCATCAACACACAGGTGCTTGATTTGACATGTGACTACCGAATGTAAGCGCGACGAAAATTGATGTTCAGAACTGCAAAAAATCGGGGCACCCAGGGACCTACATCTCGCACATCGCCAAGAACACTTTGAGCCTTGTCGCCACCTGAGGGTTGTTGGGTCTCGGCTGGCTCAGGCTGAGTCTGACCACCGTCAAAGAGACTGGCACGGTGTTGCTCCGGATTCTGGCAGCTCTCCTGGCTAAAGCGTTGGCAAGCGGCTGGTGAAGGTTCAAACAAAACAACTGGTTTTTGGAGAGTGTCCACGTGCGCATTCACTCTGAGTGCTCGTTCTTTGGGCGTGGCTGGTCACTTGGGCCCGTTTGGGCCTCCAGATTCTGACTCCAGACAACTGTGGTTGAGCATCACCCGACACAAGTAAAAACACGACCGAACGGAAAGACGAGGTTCCTGCATCATAGACAACATCATGTTTCAGCATAGGTCGTTTTCTATGATCCAACATGATCAGAGAATAAATATGGCTAACATTTCTACACCTGGTTGAAGCATGGAACATTGGTGTTTTCCGGCACTCATTCCTCTCTCCAAAATATAATCACCAGCATGGACTTCAGTGCCAGTTCGTGACAGTCTCCTTCGTGCTGATGGCTGCTTGGCACTTCTCTTTTGAGACGATCACGCTGGTGGGAGCTAACGTGGGCGGGGAAGTGGAGAGACATCAAAACATAGAAGTTAAAAAGGCAAAGAAGAAAGCGATGCTGTGGCAAAAATCAGTCGAGGGTTCCAAGACTAGTGTAAGGAGACATGTGGACTGTAGCGTGGCAAAGAACTCGCGCCCGTGGTAGACTGCTGACTGCTTCAATTTGTGGCGACGGACTTCCAATCGACTTGAAGAGTGGTGGGGGACATAGTGGTTTCTCTCTCAGGCTCCTTAGATCATCTGTCAAAAGCAAGTGGGCCTTCCAAACGACCTCTAGGTGTACACATGGGAGCTCACGGCGTTACTCAAGGCCCCATGTCCTTCCAGGTTTGCAAGCAACATAAACCTCAAGAAATGATGACTTTGAATGAGTATTGCTGCAATTGTTGGAAGCATACTTGACTACACCCCGATCAGTAGCTGGTAACTGCATATTCATCGTGCTTTGGGCCAGACCGACATGGTTTTTACATTTGAGACCTTCACACAAACTCCAACCGGTCGAAAATACGTGCTGCCTTTAAAACGAGCAAACAACGCATCGCATCGCGCCAAGGTTTACACTGATGACCTGTGGCCAGGCTAATCAAATCATCCATGTTGAAGGTTGAAAAGACCGCCAAAATAGATGTACAAATTTTGTTATAGCAATTCGTCACAGGATTTCTAGTTCAGAAAGTTCCGAGATAGGGAAAGTTGCACGAGAGAGCTCCGCATGCTCGGACACACTTGTGAATGAGCGATGCGAGCGCAGATTGGGGATATTATTTCTTCAGGGAACGGACACTGGCGAGTTGAAAATTTGCGCACAAGTCTTGTAGAAATGTGTCTTTGAAGATGTTCTTCTTAGAAAAGATCTGGTATGAATCTGCGCGTGGCTTTTGAAAGTCTCATACGAAATGCTCGTTTTAGTGATTGCCGGCGTGACTTGTGAAGAACTCTCGCACGAAACGCTCATTTTGGAAGCGTGTCAAGCAAGAGTGTTGTGCAAGAGTGTCCCGCAAGAATGTCCTGGAAGATGTTGAGTGAACTTTGAGCAAGAGCGTCCTTGAGAACATGTCAAAGGAAGCTTGGCAGAGACACTTCCATGCTGCGGGCAACAATGTTACAGTTTAGCAACGTAAGAACATTTTGTTAAAGACATGTAGCTTTGAGACAATTGGGTTTGTGTAGTTTGGTAAAGGACATCTACATACCCCCACATCTGTGTACCAAAACGGTTTTGCTGATTTTTGCTTTTGTTGACTTAAACTTTGTGTTTAAGATGTATTGATATTGATATTGATATTGAAGTAAAAATATAGACCCATAGAAAGTATAATTTCCCCAAACAGTTTACTGTTGGGGTTCTATGATAGAAAGAAAAGAGCTGGCCACACTCACTGGCCGCGCCCCTGAAGTCTGTGGCTGGGCTTTGTGGCTGGGCCTTGTCCTCCTCTTGGCCCCTCCCCTGAACTCTGTCAACTCTGTGGCTGGGCTCTGTGGCTGGGCCTTGTCCTCCTCTTGACCGCGCCCCTGAACTCTGTGGCTGGGCTCTGTGGCTGGGCCTTGTCCTCCTCTTGTCCTCCGCGCCCCTGAACTCTGTCAACTCTGTGGCTGGGCCTTGTCCTCCTCTTGGCCTCCTCTTGGCCGCGCCCCTGAACTCTGTCAACTCTGTGGTTGGGCTCTGTGGCGGGGCTCTGTGTCCAGGCCTTGCCCTCCTGTTGTCCTTCTCATGGCCGCGCCCCTCAACTCTGTCAACTCTGTAACTGGGCTCTGTGTCCAGGCCTTGTCCTCCTCTTAGCCGCGTCCCTGAACAACTCTGTGGCTGGGTTGTGTGTCCAGGCCTTGTCCTCATCTTGTCCTTCTCTTGGCCGTGCCCTGAACTCTGTCAACTCTGTGGCTGGGCTGTGTGGTTGGGCTCTGTGTCCAGGCTCTGTGTCCAGGCCTTGTCCTCCTCTTGTCCTCCTCTTGGCCGCGCCGGGCTCTGTGTCCAGGCCTTGCCCTCCTGTTGTCCTTCTCTTGGCCGCGCCCCTGAACTCTGTCAACTCTGTGGCTGGGCTCTGTGTCCAGGCCTTGTCCTCCTCTTGGCCGCGCCCCTGAACTAACTCTGTGGCAGGGCTCTGTGTCCAGGCCTTGCCCTTCTGTTGTCCTTCTCTTGGCCGGGCCCGTGAACTCTGTCAACTCTGTGGTGGGGCTTCGTGGCTGGGCTCTGTGTCCAGGCCCTGTCCTCCTCTTGCCCGCGCCCCATGAACTCTCTCGGGCTGTGTGGCTGGGCTCTGTGTCCAGCCCTTGTCCTCTGTGGCTGGGCTCAACTCTGTGGCTGGGCTGTGTGGCTGGGCTCTGTGTCCAGGCGTCCTCCTGAACTCTGTCAACTATGTGGCTGGGCTCTGTGGCTGGGCTCTGTGTCCAGGCCTTGTCCTCCTGAACTCTGTCAACTCTGTGGGTGGGCTCTGCGGCTGGGCTCTGTGTCCAGGCCTTGTCCTCCTTTTGGCCGCGTCCCTGAACAACTCTGTGGCTGGGTTGTGTGTCCAGGCCTTGTCCTCATCTTGTCCTCCTCTTGGCCGTGCCCTAATATCTGTCAACTCTGTGGCTGGGCTGTGTGGTTGGGCTCTGTGTCCAGGCCTTGACAACAGAGGGGTGGGAGAGAGGTGTGGGAGAGTAATGTGCAGAGCAGATGTACGAGGTATTGCGCAGACATGTGTGTACAGCCACAACCAGCCGAAGTAAAACCCCATCGCGCTGCCGACGTAAAACTCTATAGCCAAGCTCTTTTTCATCTACACATGGAGGTTCACAAAGCGCTGTGCCTGCCACGAAATCTGCACACGGAGGTTCACAAAGCGCTGCGCCTGCCACGAAATCTGCACATGGAGGGTCACAAAGTGCTGTGCCTGCCACGGAATCTACACATGGAGGTTCACAAAGTGCTGTGCCTGCCACGAAATCTCCACACGGAGGTTCACAAAGTGCTGCGCCTGCCACGACTTCTGCACGTCAAGAAACAAGTGAAAACTCCAATCACAATGGAGGAACGGACCGGCGACCACCGCAGACAACCGCAGACAACCGCCGACAACGCAACAGCCAGAGCCTCTAACGGAGCATGGAGGTTCACAAAGTGCTGCGCCTGCCACGAATTCTGCACATGG